TCACCGGGTGGGACAATGGCTTTTAGTTTCTCTTTTCTCTGATAATCTGATGTGATCGAAAGTCAACGAGGAAGAGGAGGACGTAGGTCTCCACAACCGACTGAAAAAAGACCTTGATCAGGGGGAGAATAAAAGACAAATTATTGAGTTCATATAATACACAAAATATAGTGTCCAGTTGTTTCTTTTTTACTGGGAAAAAAAAACCCCAAATTATTTCTTTCCCTCCAGAGAGCACTGTGAACTTTGAAGAAACATCTCTCAACAAACTAGGCTATGAAATTCAAAGTGTAAATATGCTTCCCCTGCAATTCTTAGGGTTTTCCTATATTTTGGGAACTCTGAGTAATTTTGCTTAGTCTCAAAAATGGTATCACAATTCCCACACAGTCTAAATACAAAGCTTTTGTGTTCATTTCGTGTGATTCATTTCTGAAATAAGTAGAAAGGCAGAATTATTGCATGCTCTTTTGTGCATGTTCTTTCATGAAGTCTGTTTTTGTTGAAATGTAAAATAGTTTGTAATAACTCTTCTTCTGTAATTTGAACACAGAAAAAGATAAATCCTTAGCTCCCATCTGATCCAGAACGCCTAGGAGCATGGCCTAGGAATCTGTGCTTTGACACGCTCCTGGCTGATCTAATCTGTTTTCCCCATAATCTCGGGCATTTACACGACCCTTGCCATACTCACATTGCTTTTTTGCTCTCATTCACTCAAGTTGTTTTAATTGACTTTAACATGGTAGTCATCCTAAACAATATCCACCAAATTATGGTGTTTAAAACATTCTTTCTTTGAAGATTTTATTTCTTTTTAGAGAGGGGAGGGAGGGAGAAAAAGAGGGGGAGAAACATCGATCGGTTGCCTCCCACACGCCCTCCCACCGGGGACCTGGCCCACAACCCAGGCATGTGCCCTGACCGGGAATTGGACCAGCAACTTTTCGTTTCACAGGCTGATGCTCCGTCCACAGAGCCACACCAGCCAGGGCTAAATTATGGTTATGATGCGTTGTTTTCTAAAACTATACATCAAAACACATATGTATTTCTTAAGTCCATCGTGGACCAGCTGAAAGCAGCCCTGCATCACTCCACCCCCGCAAGCTGCAGGTCGGGAAGGCTGGGTTCAGCCGCTGCCCAGCCCGGTGCATCGGCGCCGAACTCCGTCACCCTCCGCCTCTTCCCGGACCCCTCTCCCGCAGCCCTCTCCCAGCCTGTGAAAAGCCCCTCGCTGTCAGGATGTACCCCGCTCCCACTCTCCTTCCCCAGCATGCCCTCTTCTGTCACCCCGACCAAACTGGCCTTTTCTCTGTAAACTTAGACCAGTGTCACTGAAGCATGTTAACAAATGTTAGCGTAATTCTCAGACCGATGTGTCACAGAGCCCTTTGCAGCCAGCGCCCTTGGGACAGTGCCCGCGTCTCCAGCCTCATATCTTCTCCACTCTTCGTCACTCACTTTGCTGCAGCCACATTGGCTTTTTTAGTTCTTGGAACACAACTCACTCTCTGCCTTTAATGCCCAAGCCCCTTCCTGCCCCAAGGCCCAGGCATTCGGTGGATTCCCCCAAGGGACTGCCTTGTTCGGTTTCACCTCAAATGTCACCTCTTTCTCAGAGGCAGACCCTGACCAACCCTGCACCTTTCCTCACACTCCCACCCACGTCCCTCCCCCGCTCTCCCCCAGGCATCCTGTGTCACCGTGACTTTCAGCCAGGGGTGATATGGCCTCTCAGAAGACATTCGTGGTTGTCACAACTGGAGGACAACAACTGTCCCCTGGCTGGGAGAGGTCAGGGATGCTGCTAAACACCCTCCCGTGCACCGACAGCCCCCACAACAAACAGTTATCTGGCTCCAAATGCCACAGCTGAGAAACTGCCTCTGTCACCGAATCCTCGTTCTCCGCCGCAGTCATTGGTACCGGCGCGGATGGGTTGGGGGCGGGGCCCCCTGCGAACCTGGAGCTCCTCGAGAACTGAAGTCCAAGGTGGTTCTCGGCCCCGGCCCCAGCCCCTAGGCAGTGCCAGGCACACTTCCCTCCAACCGTGCCCCGCCCGCCCGTGTCCTGGGATCCACGGGACGCTGACGACGCGGGCGAGCTCAGCGGGCCAGCCTGAGAAAAGAGGCCTGTTTTCAAAATGAAAACAAAAGTTTCTTTGTCAGTGTGAATAAAATGAAACTAATGAGAGAGCTTCTCGCTTTCATGTGCTCCCTATTATCTTCACTGCCATCCGTGAAAGACTGGTTCTGCTACTACGAAGTGTAAAATTTCCCCCGTTCAAAATACGGTCTTAGTTATGGCTGTGTCCTAACGTTCCAGGACAAATTGTAGAGAATGGAAAACTCAATACATTCTATGAAATGAATATTCTTACAGAAAATAATTTAATGTACTTTAAAGATTTTATTTATTTAATTTTAGAGAGAGGTAGAGAGAGAGGGAAACCTATGAGAGGAACATCAGTTGGTTGCCTCTAACGTGCTGCCAACTGGGGACCTGCAACCTGGGCATGTACCCCGACAGGGAATCGAACCACTGACCTTTCGGTTTGCAGTCTGGTGCTCAAGCCACTGAGCCACACCAGTTAGGGCAAAAATTAATTTAATGTTAAGTAAATACTTTCCCTTCCTTCTTCTAACGAATTCTTCCTCTCAGGTATGGACAATTATTTTTTATGGTATAAAATGATAGCCCAATTATTCAATATTAACTTTTCCAAAAAAGAAGATAGTAAGATCATTTTTAAAAATAAGAAGGTACTGTCCTGGCCCGCTGGCTCAGTTGCTTGGATCATTGTCCTGTATACCAGAAAGGTTGTGGGTTCAATCCTTAGTCATAACACATACCTAGGCTATAGATTTGAACCCCGATAGGGTTGCATATGGGAGGCAACTGATCGATGCTTCTCTCTCTCTCTCTCTCTTCCTTTCTCTCTATAAACAATAAACATATCCTTGGATAAAGATTAAAAAATAAGAAGGTACTATATAGCAAGAGATTCGTGAATGCAACATCATAGAAATTATTTACTAAGCACTTATACTAGGTTGGCTATTACTAAAAATTTGAAAAAAAATAAAAACCCTTTGCATTTCTGTAATGGTTTTCACATTTCAGACCTCTCACAAGTAACATATCATTATCATTACAATTGCCACTATGCTCGGAAGTAGGTGTGGAAATAATTATCTCTAAAATAGATGTCAAACGAAGGCATAAAGAACAACTTGCCCTAATGTCATCCAGTGTCACTGGCAAGAGCTAGGATGGAACTCAAGTCCTACTTCTAGTTCCGTGTACCACCCGTTGCCCCCACCCCCCACACAGGGTCCCACAGGTGCCACCGGGCATGCCGGTAGCTATTATTGTGCTCATGAGTTTCAAACGAGTATGGAAATGCTGGCATAAACAGAGCTTGCCAGAACCCAGAGCCTTTAACGTGCCCTCACTAAGGTCATGGAGAAGAGAACTGCACCATAACTCAAAGCCACGCAAGTCACAAAGCGGGTAACAAGCGTGAGCTGCAGGGACAAGGACTGGGGGCGAGAGGGTGGTGTGTCACTAAAAGGTCCTGACGGTGTAGGAATGCAGTCCAGCGTCGCCAGGTCTTTCCAGAGAAGCTACAAATCTGGGCTTCAATCTGAAATCTCCATGTTCACCCGTGTTGTCTTCACTATAAAGGGAAAACACTGTAGCTGGAACAAACTTTTTGAGACCAGATTAGTCTGGCCCAATTTGGGAAATCTGATAGACAATGCTTAACCATCTTATTTACCCATACAACCTCTATTCAGAGGCGCTTGCTATTAATCTTCTAGAATTCTGCAGAGTTGTGTCAAAAAAAGTTGCCTTCAGACGAGATCGGGCGCGTTCAGGGTGGTATGGCCGTAGACAAAAGTTGCCTTCAAATACAAGCACCCTGCCCTCCAGGACCACTCTGGTGTGAGCAGCACTGAAGTCCAGGCGTGAATTATTTCAGGATTAACTCAAACTGAAATGCATCCCCGGCCTTGTGAACTATTAATGTAGAAATGTTTCTGGTAGCTAAAAATGTCATTTTTTTAATTGTTTTACTCTCTTGGCAAAATCAAATATTTAATTCAGTTGTAAGAAAGGAAGAACATTGAAATTGATTTGAGATCCAAAAAACCTTCATCCTTCCAAAATAATTTAAATAATCAAAGTGGTTGGGGACAATTTAGAGTTTCAGCTGAAACTAGTAACACCCTCAAACAACACTACAATACTTTTCTAAAGCAGCAAACCTTCTCCCCTAATTTCTCCTCTCCTTTTTTCCTTCTTTTTTTTTTTTTATCCCTGCTCTGCATTATTCTAAAAATTAGTTTAGATTCTCAGACACTGGTCTACATAAGTGCTAGGAGCTATGGCCCAGATGCAGCAGAAATAGTGTACATGTGTTAAATCAGGTGGCAACTGACCTTCTTCCCCTGATCTCCTCGGTCTACTCACCACCCTAGCTTCTCCTGACTCCTAGAAACCCCATGCAGGTCCCAGGGAAAACACTTAAAACTGTCTATTTTTGGGACTTAAAAAAAATCAAATCATAAAATCACGCTGACTTTATTTCCTCGGAAGGAAAAACCTATGCACCTCTATGATTTCAAACGCTTGGGTGACTTAAGAAATGTAACATTTGGAGTAAACAAAATAAAAATCAAACGATAATTATGGAATGCTTACACGTGAAGTCATTTATGTACCAAGTTAGATTTGCTGATTTCAAGTCCTATGTGACAAAGATAACAGTTCTTTCCCTCCCTACCCAGTGAGGATTTTAGCTGGACACAGGATTCATAAAGTCTAAAGAGTTCATTCCATTATTGAGAGAGAGCTCTGCTATGATCAAAAAAGACTGAGCCAGTTTTCACATGAAAAATTAGGATCTATCACCGCCAAGGTTGACTACACACAGATGAACTAGAGACACTCTAACCAACATCACTGTTCACAGGTTGGAATATGGTGGGAAATTGATAGAAAAATCATCCTGGAGCTTAAAGGGACTTTGACATGGTGAGATCTGGTCATTGTCTTCTACAGTCAAGGGCATAAAGGCTTGGACGGCTGCTGGGTCTTAATGTGCACTGTAAAGATTATTCTCAAAGTAGATATTCTCATCCGCTCGGTAGTGCACTGCAGTTTCATTCTGTGACGTTCCATCCTTAATGTCATTTGATGAAAGTTTGCTATATAAAAGAATAAATAACATGGTAAAAGAGAAACAGGTCACTTCTAAAATATAAGCAGCCCGTTTGTTTATAATCAGGTAAGACTGAGAATTTGCAACTCCCAGAGCCCCACTCACATAACCTATGGAAGGAATAGAAGCCCCCAGAGTTGTTAATATTAAGTTGTAGAAATGTCTATTTAATAATCAAGTAGGAAACCTAAGCAGTGTTCAAATAAGCCCGACTAGTCTCCTTCAAGAGACTCATGTAATAGAATACAAAAATTGAAAATCTAAGATGGATACATTATATCAAACTGAAGTACTAAATCAAGATGCATATTCTCCAAGTTGGCTAAGAAATTGTTTGGCTGGTGTTTTTCCAGCGGTGGACTGTGACCTTTCAGAGATGGTCATTAAAACTATGGTGTGGCCTACATTCTCTATTTAAGATAAAATAGAGAATACAAAGTATCTGAGCATATTGGATGTAGTATTTAAAAGTGTTGTTACACACAAGTGTGTACTGGATGATGGTGTCAAAAATCTTACTGTGTCTTTATGGTCAGTATTTGAAAACCATGAGTTAGATGACTTTATAATATATACACTCACAGATCAAGTGTACAAAAACTTTACGTGTAGAGTTTTGATATAGTTGCTGTTTTATAATTTGTACATAGTGAGGATGTTTAATCCCTAAGCTTCCACAGAAATAATATGAAATGTACTGAGTCTTTATTCAACTCAGACCTTTAAATGAACTGGTGATACAAGCGTGAGACCATTCAAGTGTCAATAGCGTGAAATGAACCAGTGTGATATAGCTGCCAAAAAAAAAAAAAAAGCCTGAGGAAATACTCCATTTTGGGTGGGGTTTTTTTGCTCCTTTTTTATATTTTACAATATTTTCTACAATAAATATTTTCTTTTATAATTAAGTGATAAGAGTGAATATAAAGAAAATATCGATAGTGATAGGACAGAAATCGACTAAAGGGATACTACATTCCTTGCTTTTCTGCCAGTAACAAGTATTCTTTCCCCTTCTATTGATGGAAGCAGGTACTCAAAACTTCTATTAGTATGGGTTTTGAACTCTAAAAGACCTAATGCTGAGTCTTTTATCTGTTGTGTGATGTGAACTGGGATGTCACTTAAAATTTCTAAACCTGTTCTCTAATGTATGAAGTGAGGATAGTAGTGCCTATCTCACAGGTTTATTGATATGAAGGAATGATAGCAATAGTTAAAGCCAGCATTTACAGAGCAGTTACGATGTGGTGGGTAATGTTCAAGGCAAACTCTGGGGATTGGCTCATGTAGTGAAGACATAGGAATGCCTGACAGCCAGCGAATAATGAATGGCAGCCTAAGAAGGATGGCTTCTGAGCCAAAGAAAGACCTTGCTGAGCCCTGGCTGGTGTGGCTTAGTGGATTGAGTGCCATCTTGTGAACTGAAAGGTCATAGGTTCGACTCCCAGTAAGGGCACATGCCTGGGTTGCAGGCCAGGTCCCCAGTAGGGGGTGCATGAGAGACAACCACAAATTGATGTTTCTCTCCCTCTCTTTCTCCCTCCCTTCCTCCTCTCTAAAAATAAATAAATAAATAAATTTATTTATATATATGTATATAAACACCTTGCTTAAAGCCCAAATTGGACTGAATGAAGCAGGCTACCTGGAACTGGTAGTAAGTAGTGGCTTCATACCAATACAGGTGTTCGCTCAGATGAACCCAAGGCATGGATGAAAGTAAAGGGGATTTAAGCTTTAATTGGGCAGTACAGTGGATTTACAAAAATTGTAAATCAAATGCCTACAAGGGCCGGGGGACTGCGGAGCACTGAGGCCCTGCCCCCACCCCGTGCCTTTGCCCTGCTTCAGCCTGGCGTGGTCTTCCTCCAGGTCTTTGTGCGCGGCCTCCTGGTCCGCCAGGGCTCGCTCACACAGCCCCCTACCCTGGTCTACATCCCCCATGGCATTTGCCTGGAAGCACTAAAAGGACCCTGTTTATTTGCTTACGTGTTTTGCCTGTTTTGTTTATCTCTTTGGCATATAATAGGCTTTCAGTAAACAAGGCACTGAAAGAAATCAAGACCAAACCAAACAACTCATTTGAATGTAATTTCATCAAACACTCTTTGTGACTTAGTCCCATTACTCTGAGGTGAGGCTTGGGGGGCTGTGTCTGCAGGAGTTCCTGGCACAGTGCCAGGGAAATGCAGCAAGCTAAAGCTGTCCCTGGACCCTGCGGGCAGCAATGGAGGCTCCCGTTACACGAGATTTTTCAGGATCCGGGGTGTGAAATGGAGAGTTCAGGAGAAAGAGGAGAGGGACAGACAGAAATGCTTCTTTATTTTTATTAGGGTAGGGACATCAACAGGCATTGACACAAAGCTTTCGAGCTTACCTTATATGCAACACCTTTATTCTCTCACATAAATATTCTAAATTGGGGAACAGTTAAAGAGAAAATTAAACATGTCAGCCAAGAATTTCATGAGATCTTTTCCTAAACACGTATAATATCTCTGCTATTATTTTTATAGGAAAAAATCTGTACAAAGCCAGAGGCTGAAAAAAAAAATTTAAATTTAGAAGAATTTTTTTTAAAGGAGGAAAATAAAAAACCCCAAGACAGCCTAGACTCTTCCCTGATAACTTCATGTAACTCTTTTCAAATATGTAGGACCCAAGCAAGCTCCTTTGTGCAAACTACCTCATGTTCATTTTTGATTTAGTGTATTCACACACATGCCCCAACTTACTTGAATGTGATTATAATAATTATACTTCATTTTTTAAAGTGAATGTTTGTGCTTCTTTCCTGGAGGCTTGTTACACACACAGCTGGTTGGTGGGTGGTTTTTGAAACCCATTCTTCTAGATTTAGCCCTGAAATCTGTTTCTCTTTAGTGTCTCCTTTGCCTCTTCAGTTGAGTAAGTGTTGTAAAACTATGAACAACATTGTCCTTCACAAGCACAAACACTGGGTCTCGGGAGGAGAGGAGGAAGAGTCAACAAGTCTTACACAGCAAGGTTTGTTGCCTTCCAAATCCCAACTCTACTCAACAAACTTACTTCTTAGTATTTAATTTCTCCTATAGAGAATTTAAATTTCATTTTTCTCTTTACAGGCCACTATTTTTAAGAGAAAAAAAAAGAACAAGGTTATGAAACAAGGAAGTTATGTGAAATCAGAATTACTTGGTGTGTGGAGCTACTTGAAGTCAGGCCGTTCGGCTCTGGGACCCTCGCTCTGTCCCTTCCGCCCGACCCTGAAATGACTTACTTCTGGTAACTACGGCAGCCAAAACACTGAGCAGCATCAGGGCGGCCGTGGAGAGCCCGATGGAGAGAGCCTTATGGCTCATCCATGGGTTTTCTTCCAAGTTCACGCGCTGAGGAAAGATCAGCAGATTGAAAAACATCTTGTCAGAATTATGGGCAGAAAACATTTCCTAAAATAATGTACTCAGACACATTTATCTTTAGTGGCCCTTGTCTACTCCTAGATCATGAGGGATAAGACGAAATGATCTGACGTTGTAACCATGGAGAAATTATAAAATAACTTAAAATTCAGTGTGTACTTGGGAATGTGGAAATATTTCATATCACACTTGAAGTAGTATTTATGCAGGTGCATATATTTGTCAAAGCTCAAACTGTACACTTCACAGGGTATATATAAATTATCCATGTTATTTTTAAAAATCAGTAAGTTACATCCTTTTATTAAATTAAAAAAGAAAAAAAATTTGTTCATATATAAGTTGACCTGGTGATTCTATATGATCTGAAAGTGTTCAATTAATGAATTTGGTCATTGATACAGTCCTTATTTTTTTTCACTATAATTCAAGGTTCTATCTATCTATGTCTATATAACGGGCCTGAAAGCAGCTGCTCACAGACATGGCCCTGAGAAAGTTAACTTAAAATGCCGTGCAATGGGCTACAAGTGCAGAATTTTGTTTACGTCTCCTGGTGCATTTCATAAAGATCACCCTCCTCAAATAAGCCCGAACTATGCCAGGCATCGTGCCAGGCCCCCTGACATAGCTTAGCTCCAGTCCTAAGAAGGCCCCACAGGGCATAGGTAACAGAAAGGAAGTGGAAGATCAGAGAGACGGATGGAACCTTTTGCAGCTGAAAGTTTAATCTCTGGAGTCAGAATTCTGGCTCTTTTAGTCCCTGTGGGGCCCTCAACGAGTTATCCCGCTTCTCTGAGCCTCTGTTTCTGTGTCTGTCAACTGAATATTGCATAGGGTCCTTAGTCCTGTCTGGGTACCTCAGTTGGTTAGAGTATCATCCCCTCATTCCAAGGTTAGGGGTTCAATCTCCAGTCAGAGCACATACCAGAAGCAACCATTTAGTGCATAAAGAAGTGGAGGAGTAGATTGATGTCTCTCTCTCTCCCTCCTCCCCTCCTTCTTCTCTCTCTCCAAAATCAATAAAAATTAAATAAAAAATAAGTAAATAGGGTCCTTGGGAATGGCACGTTTAGGTATATCCTGAAAAACATTGTGGGGAACATGAGGAAGGTAGTTTAGCACTTGAGCCATCCATGTTTAAAAGGGAAATGGCCACTATTGGAAGGGAAAGCTGCGTTGGTACTGCCTGAACTTTGGGGGCTAAAGTAGTAGATTGTACATGGGCTGCCAAAGGAGACTTTGCTTTCCTTTTTAAAAATACTACATTACATAAAAAGTGCATGTTCAGTCCTGGCTGTTGAAGCTCAGCGGATTGAGTGTCGGACTGTGAACCAAAAGATCACTGGTTTGATTCCCAGTCTGGGCACTTGCCTGGGTTGCAGGTCAGATCCCCAGTTGGGGGCACTCGAGAGGCAACTGGTTGATATATCTGTTGCACATAGATGTTTCTCTCCCTCTCTTTCTCCCTCCCTTCCCCTCTCTCTAAGAATAAATAAATGAAATCTTTTTTTTTTAAATAGTGCATGTTCATTTTAAAATGTGCAGCTAAGCACAAAAAGAAGAAAACTAAAATCAACCATAATCCTAACATCCAGAAATAACCAGTGCTACCATTTTATATTATATACTCTTAACAATATTTAGTACTTCATTAGGATACTATTGTTCAAATGGACTTGGTAAAGTAATTCCCAAACACAGCACTGAACCCCAGGGTGTTTTCAGGCTTCTGTTAACGAAGCTGCGCATAGAATGTGAGGCCGCTGATAAAAAACAGAAAGGCAGGGAGAGCGGGGCTGCTGCCCGTACTCAGAGCCGATCCCCAACTTGCTCCTAAATTGTTTCTACTTTTTGCTAAACATACCCGTCCTACAGGCAACTGAGGTCAAAAACAATCTCACCATTTAGAATGTGGTGGTGGTGTTTTTTTTCCAAATTCAGCCTAAGTCTGGCCATGTAGCAATGCAATAATCATTTTCATAGTGATAGTTCTAATATTTAGGAGGTACAGTACTTACAAAGTCAGCCCACACCCATCAGATCAATCAGCGTCGATGAGTAGAAGCTGTTAAAATTTTTCATATAACTCCTATGCAGTGTTCCCATTGTCACTAAGATATACAACATTAAGTCATTTGAACCTACACTAAATAATCCCACTTCGCCTGAGCTTCGATTTCTTTTACTGTGGCCGTGTTGTCCTCTCTCCCCCCTGGGACCAGGATTGTTGTCATACATCAAACTCTTTTGTTAGTCGCTTGTAAGAGTTATCGGAACATACAAAGGGAAAGTGGTTTCTACCAGGAAGCCAAAAGAAAAGCATCCTATTAATAAATTGGCCTAACTTATTTGCAAGGAGGAGCCTCTCGTGAGCATCATGACACTACAGACCCTTGTATTTTTCTCAAGTCCACTGAGGAGAAGTACAAGAAAACCTTTCAACATCACAAAGTTGTTGAAGACATTAAAACGTTAATGAGTCATCCTATGGGGAGGTTCTGGTATAGAAAAACTCTGCGGTGCCCTCAACATTGCGCCATAAGAGAACTATCCAGGTGGAAAGCACACCAGGGAGCCCAGGTCGAAGCAGCACACTTCCATGTTCATAATACGTGGGTTGGGGGTGGCCTCCGAGCCACCGCAGAGACTTGAAGTCTGTTGTCCCCCAGATGGTAACCGAAGTCTTCCTGGGCGTGTCATGTTAACTCACTCTCCTGAAATTAGTTCATTATTTTTTGCCCAAGTTTTGGCCAGGAGGGAGCCTGTCATCTTGTGGGGGTTGTGTGTGTGTCGGTTTGAGTAAAATGTCACTTCTCAGTCACCTCTAACAAGCTGCTCTACCTGTATCTACGTGAACTTTACAAATTAATTAAAGCATCCCTATTTAAGAAACGAATTATTTTCTTCTTTGTCTCTTCCCTAGAAAGAGTCAGCCTGGGGGCGAGCCTTACAGAAGTAATCCCTGAATATAACTTGCCTCCAGGGAGACATACGAGGAAAGGTGAATAAAATAGGGGGGATTTGCTTACATTTCCAGTGTCTTGCCAGCCACCCTCTGACGGTTGCATCACAGTGCTGTTCCCATCTGCTCAACAAAAAGAAAATTATTCAGAGTGAGAAAAAATATGGCATTTTCACTACAAACACCAAATATATTTATATTGCTTTCTGGTAACAAATGAAAAGATGAATAATAGTATGCCGAAATGCAGCAGGTATTGGAAGAATTATACCAAGTTACTAGCATTTATGAATTTATCATGTAAGGTTGTATTTCTTAACAATTTTGTCATGGACCCTATGAAAATGGACTCCTTTCTACTTCTTTATGGAAAAAAAATGCAGTGCATACAAAGTTTCACCTATAATTTTAGGATCACAGGGACCATTCTTGGAACCAGGTTAAGAATGCCACTCATGTATAGGTAATCAATAGTTTTATGCCAGCTGAGAACCTGTCAATGAGAGCCCAGGGGCCCTATGCACATCTAAAGATCAAACTACTCTATTCACGGTGGACATTGCATTGACTTTGCATTCAAACCGTAAGGAAAACCCATCAAGATACATAAAACAGGTTTCATGTAACTCCTACATTGTCTGCCACTGTCTATTTTGTCTGGTATAAGTATTGCTAACCCTGCTTAGTTTCTCTGTTTCCATTGCATGAAATATCTTTTTCCATTCCTTTCAAGTTCTGAGTGTTCAAATTATAATAGTGCTCTGAAATACCTGGTTTGTAATATAGAACATATGGCTGACCTCCCTAGGAAATTATAGGTCAAATATAGAATTCTCTTTAACTGAGTATCTATGATGTACCAAGCACTTCTCATCCTTACAACAATTTTTTTTAAATCCCATTTTATAGATGAGGAACAGATGTGAAATGGTTAAAGAAGTTTCCAACTCTATTAATAACAAAAGCATCCAATCATAACTACACATACATTTTGGTTCTTTGAAGTTCCCTAACAATGGACAAAGCTTTAGAGACTCAATAGTAATTTCTGTGTTTACATTTTACTCATTCTGAGACTACTTTAATCTAAAGCAATATCTAGGTTTAGGAAATATCTTCAGTCTAGGCTGTGTTTGTGCTTGTGTTTGACCTTAATTAAGTCCTTCACATATAGAACTGAGAGACGCAGTAAAAATAGCCTGGACTTGAGTCAGAGGAGATTGAGTTCAAAAAAGAAAATATCCCTTACAAGCGTGACCTTGACCAAGGTCCATTGCATCCATATATTTGTGTGTGTGTATATTAACATCCATATATACACATACATACATATATACATATACATTATATATATATATATTTTTTTTCCTAGCTAAAGTAACCTTGGACTACAACTATAACTTATTTATATCACCCATCTCATAAAGTTGTTAAATTAGATGATGCATGTAAAGTACTTAACATCGTATCAGATAAATATCAGCTGCTACTAAATATTATGTCATTCTAAGAAAGGAGCAGAGGGCGGGGACACTGTGCCACGACTGCCCAAACCTCCCGCCCCTCAGTCAGCACAAGCACCGGGGAGGAACGCACCCACTCGCCCTTGGCCACGCAGCCCGTGCCTGCGCGGAGCTGGGCGCTGACTCCCAAACTCAGCCACGGGGCCTGCCCTGGCTGGCAGCGGCACTAAGAAGGCCTGCGCTGAAAAATTAAATGAGGTAAAGTAGGAAAGTTTCCTGGCCCGTACAACTGCCCAAGGTGGGCGGCGGGCCATACTACAACCGAAATCCCTCCAGACCTAACAGTCTTTGCTTCTGTGAAGCTACCGCCCGTGGGAGGCTCACTCGGGCACAGGCAGGGTTTGGCTCAGAGCCCCAGACACCCGCCAGGATGGGGACACAGCTGCTCCAACGTCTGTTCCACCCTGGAAAGCTCTGCCTTCACCGGGTTACGGTGACATGGTATTTACAAAATGAGTTCCACTCCTACCTTCTTCCTGCTCACAGCCCTAAAAGTGCGGGTGCGGCTGCTCCTCCTGCTGTTACCCTGTGTTCTTATCTCTTTTCACTTTGCTTATGTGTCTGGAAACAGTTTGCATGTAAGGATTCCACATTCAAAACCAAATGTCACATGCTCTCATCCCAACAGAATGGGTCTCTCTGTGACTCTCACTGCAATGAACCATCTTCCAGGAATGATTGGCAAGAGGGAGGCCGTAGGGGGGCCCCACAGATTGGCAGCTCCTGGGCACAGCGAGGCCTGCACGGGAGGAGTCTGCAAGGTTTGCCCTTGTTTGGGTACAGCACAAACCCAGGGGGGTTCCGCATGGGGCGCTCGGCACCCTCAGCACCCTGGGTCACAGGGTTAGCTGGGGAAGAGGACAGGCTGCAGGACCACCTTTCTCCACCGTGGGAAAGACAGGCCATTCCTCCATTTCAGAAGGGAGGAATTACATGGGACCGGCCTAGAAATAGAAGGCAATAGCAGGCTCTCCGTGGGGCGTGCCTCTCCCTTTGGCGCCAGTGTCGGTGGCCGCAAACCATCTCTCAGTGTCCCCTGCAGGCCTCTCCAGGCAGCAGAACAGCCTCCTAGATGCGCTGAGGCTCAGAGCTTAGGCGAAACATCCACGCAGGTGACCAGTTTGGTCCCGATTTAACAATATTATAGCTCTGGCCCAAGGTAGTAAACCCAGTAATAAGTACATATGAAGTAAAGACCGGTTCATGCGATTTAGAAAGATAGGGATATGCATGTGGATGTTCCCAAATCATACAAGCTACCTATGCTAAAGTACCCAGACATCTAAGCGATAGTCATAGTGGCTATTGTCACTATGCCCCACGTTCTTCCCCTCATTTAACCTTCACGAGGATTCTACGCGGTCAGAGATGTTCCATTCATTGTACAAATGGTGAAAACAGATTCAGAGAGAGAGACATTTGTTCAAGTCCCACAGCAGATGGAAGGACCAGTGTCGGCGTTCGTGCCAGATCATGTGCTCTTAACAGCACATCAATGATCATGAGAATGTGAATGCTCTAGGGCTTCAGGACAGAAAATGAGGTTACCTGTTGGGCCACAGTGTGATGATGAGCTGGTCGTGTTCGTTCCCTGTGGTGTGTTAGGCTGGGTTTCTGCTGTCTGCACTGGAGAAGATGAAGCAGTTTCTGAAACAGAAAGGATGAGAGCGCTGTGCTCTGTTTGTGGACAAGCGTTCCCACCCACATCCAGCAAAACTAAAGTCAGGAACGACCTTCAACTCTCTCTTAGAAATTCATTCAAACACAACATTGAGGCACTGTACTGCTATCTAGGTATTTTATTATTAGGAAGAAATCTGATATGGATAATGATCTCGATCGTTACCTATAGATGGGAACTTTTCACTTTTCATACTCTTAGGATCCCCCTGAGTGTGTAAAGCCTGCAACAGTGCGTCTTCTGCAGGAAACCAAATAGAGCCTTTATTCATACAAATGACGCCCCATTTTCATGGAACGGGGCCTGGCCGTTTGCACTGATCTGTCTTCCCGTCTTCACAAGAACCCCAATGTGGATTTTCTGGCCTTATTCAAGTTCCCAGTTATCCGATCACACACCCTTCCAGGGAGATGCACCTATGGGCCAGCACGGGATACGTGCCCTCAGTACCGAATTCCTGGAAGTCTCTTCAAGCTGACTATGCTGCCCAGAGCCTCCACTTGGTAATCACTCACTGCCCTCAAAGCACGATGCCTGGTAACCTTGACCCCAGCTCCTTCTGCAGTGGCATTCCGGTCACCGCTTTTGTATGACTGATTTCCTGCGTTCTCTGACTCATCTTCCATTTCCCCCCAAAATGCTGCCCCAGAATTGTCCAACGCACAGCTATGCATCGCTTGCCTCTTTATCGGGTCTTTATATTCCCGCCCCCGAGAGCACCGCACAGACTTTCAGAGCAAACGAGTGTGGCTGGCTGGGCAAGGATTCTCACACCTGGGCTGCCCTCACTGCCTCTCACCACGCTTTCTGTTTCCCCTTTGCCACCATCGCCTTCACATTTCAACATCACCTTTCCTTATGTTCTGAACCGATTTCATGGTTTCCTCCTTACCGAACCTGATAAGAGGGTGTGGCCCTCTTTGGGAACAATGACCAGGACACTACAAGAAAGTCAGATGATCAGAGTCTATCCAACTTAGATCTGCACACAAGGCTCTTGACCTTAACTTCTTTCCTGGTTTTGGTTCTTTGTGGGCATCTTTCTTTTCTCACCTGCTCCTGTAACCTCAAGCCCCAACCATCCCACGGCTATTTTAGGAAGCCAGCAGGTGTAGAGGCACTGAGGACAGGCAGGGGGTGGGTGTAAAGGTAAATATCTCTGCAGTGAATTACCTCCGGTGTTCACCTCCTTCCTGTTCTGGAAGCTCAACTCTAAACTCAAACTCCTTAGGAAACTATCAGGATAAAGATGAGGCTCAATTCAATTAATAATACAATTAATATTCCCTAGGATGTCACACAGACTTTTTCTTCTGAATCTGCTTTGAATGAAGTCAAATACTCATGTGTGTTCGCCAAACCAAGTCCCGCAATCTTCACACTTTTGTGGGTACACAGTACACCAAACTAAGTATAAGGAAGCCAAACCAATATTGAAAAAGCCAACAGATTCTTTGGAATATTTAGCTACCAAGAACAAAGCTGTTTTTCTTACAAATTTCTATGGCTCTAAATCCCAATTTTAACCTGAAGCCCTCATCAAAACTCTGCTCGTAGCCCAGTGCTTCAGGTCCTTCCTGGTTAACACACATGTGGTTCAATGGGAGTCAAGGAGAATCAACATGTCCCATCAGGAATTCCGGCTGAGAGGCTGTGACATCACTGTTACTCCTCAGAATCCAGACCACCTCAAGGAGTCAAAGAGTTGTGACAGCTTTGGGGCTCTTTACTGTCAGTTATCTACAAATAGAAATTTTGAACCTGAATTGGTCCTTAGGAAACCAAGTTCTTTTGCCACCCACATGTCAAATTATTCTCCATTTGTTTTCCACCTGAACTATCAGAAATGTGAAGTGTGCAGCATGTAGCCTGAATTGTAAAAGGAGTCATACATTCTAAATCCCTGAACTCTTTAAATCCAATGCTGACCTTGTCATTAGTATAAATAGCATTTTCCCCCATTTTTATGCTATATATTAAAGAATGCTAGAAACTAAATTGTGCAAGTCACTAAATGATGTAAAAACCAGGATGTCAGTGAGGATGTCAGATCAGGACAAATTCCTCCTCATGTCACCTCAGTCAGGGCTCACGGTGGAAGGCACGGTCCAGTAACTGTAACCACAGCCCCAAATTCAAATGCATGGAGACCAAATCCTGACTCAACCACTTTGTATCCATATGCCTTTCAACAATGAATATAGACACTTTGCCTGGGTTCCCACAGCCAAAAAAAGGTTTGAATTACACCACCATTACATAGGGTTGTCCTTAGAATCAAGTGATAGAATAATTGTAAAAAAATTGAGCATGATTCCTGTCACATAGGAGATGAGTAAATGTTCTGAAATCTTCACTGAAATCTTATCCTTGAGTTGAGTGCCTGTCTTCAGAGTCAACTTAAGCTTCACGCAGAGCTACATGTGAAGATGGAATCTCATGAACTTGACCCTTGTTCTCTGACATTCCTTATAAACCTTTGCTCAACTAAGTCAAATCCACATTGCCCTCATTAGATGTAAAAGATCAGTGGTCTGAAGTTGTTGGCTAATAATGAAATCCTTTGAGAATCCAATTTTAAAAAACACCAGTGGGTCCCTTCACTCTGAAAATACTTTTAAGTGTAAAAGGTGCCTATAATATACACAGGGGTTCACAGACCCTGTGAAGCCATGTTTGGAACCCAGAGCAGAAGCCTTACTCTAGATTGTACTTCTGCATTAACACAATTCCTGGGAAGGTTTACTACGTCTTCTCATTAGAAAGCCTAGACTCTGGCCTCAGAAACACATCAGTTTACCTGTCTCGAGGTTCCATGTGGATGATGGCATTGTAGGAGCAGACGTGAAGACCCTCGGTGATGTTGGAACACTGGTGACCTTAGGTGGAGCTAGAAGTCAACATAAAGCAAGAATTAAAAGCAGCAGGAAACAAGAGCTGGGCCCGTATATCAACTCAACCAATGAAAGACCAACCCCAATCTTCTCTCAACTCAGCATTCTTGTCATTAGTCAATTCGAATATGAAATGGGAAGGCTGAAAGTAGGCTGGTAAAAAGAAATAGCTGCATTGAAAGATGAAGATTCCAGAAGGTACAGATGTTAAAAAGTTACCCTGGATTTGCACTGAAGCACTTTGGAAGGAATAGTCATACTTGGGGTGGTGAACACATAATACCATATACAGATGGTGTATCATAGATTGAATATCTGAAACCTATAAAATTGTATTAATCAATGTCACCCTGATAAATTCAGTAAGTTAATAAATTAATTAATATAATTAAATAAAAAGAAAGAAAACCATGCCTATTAGATTTAAGTGTCTTCATAAACATCTGTGAGGTGGGGAAAATGTCTAGAGCCTGGACCTGTCTTTGTCTTCTCAGTGGTGAATGATGAAGACTTAAGCAGTAGTTCTCAAGCCCAGAATGTTTACAAAATAAATAGCATTCAGCTCAATCAGTCTTGAGGTTACCCTCTCCCCAAACCAGCACCTTAAATGAGGATTAACTCACACCCACTAGCATATGCTAGGTTGTAGGGAGGATTTATACAACATATATTTGGGTAGAAGGTAGACTAGACCACAGGTAATGGCCATAGGTAATGACTTTGACTCTTTGCAGTCAGAAGTGGTGTAGGACTTCAAACCACATACAGGTCTCAGAGCGAGAGCGAGAGAGAGAGAGAGAGAGAGAGAGAGAGAGAGAGAGAGCTGAAGTTAGAATTAAGCCCTAACACAGTGCCTGTCACAAAAAGCTGATCATTGAAGGCCAGATTAAACAATGTATACATTTTCCCTGCTCCGAGGCACCGTTTTTTCCCCCTGCAATGTTTTTTGTAGCTCAACTCAACTATTAAAAAACAAAAACAAACAAACGAAAAAAAAACAAACAACCTTGGAGAGGAGACAATTGGTTGAGAAGCTCTTCTTTGTGAAGAGATTCCATTCAGTTCAGAAGTGAGACAATATTGCCTTAGGGAAAAAATCCTTTGAACAAGTATTTTGAGTGTTCATCACATGCAAAGAATTAGTCTAAAGCGGGGGAGAGCAAACTTTTTGCAAAAGGCCTGGAAGTAAATTATTTAGGCTCCCAGGGCTCGAGGGGCTCAGTGGCAGTTGCTCAAGTCTCAGGGTGAATGCGTCCACAGACAGGATGGTCTAATGATTGGGTGTGGCTTTTCCAATAAAAATTTATTTATGAAACAGTCAAAGAGCCAGTTTTCCAATCTTATCCATCGCTGGGGCTACATTTTGCTGATCTTGATCTAAGATATAGTCAGAGGCTTTTAAGAGGAGAGCATTCCAATTCCCTCTCTACATTTTAAAAATGTAATCTAAAGGGGAAAAGCAAGCATGCAAAATTTCTGATCATAGGAGCATAAGAGACAATAAAGAGGAGAAAACTGAATTGGGTTGTTTAATGAACTTGCTTTCTTCAGGGGTAAATAGTTTACCCACAGAACAACCAGGATAGGGAAGATGTTGATGAGGAAAAGCTCTAAGAGTAGGTTAAAGAATGAACTTAGTCTGTAAAAAAAATGAAAAAACAAAACAAAACAATAAGCAAAGAATTGGTTATCAGAGGCAGAGAATGCCTTTAGCTCAGTTATGGACCCACTGCCCACTGGATAGAGGACCGGCCTCATAATTACCTGCTTATTAAATAATTGGGAGGCACTACAGAAATCTACTGATTCTTTCCTATAACATTTTTTTAAAAATCCAGCCGGATAAAAATAATTTCACAACTCCAAATAAGCTGTAACCATAATTTCTTCTCCGCATGCTAATCTTCACGTCTCTCTATGGCCTACTATGTCTCGTTAGCTTCCTTTGGGCTTCCAGAAGAGCGTCCCAGAGTCAGCTGTTTTCTTCACCCAAACTGACCTTATTGTGTTTGCCTTCATAAGGGAAACAAGCCAATTCCAAATGTTGAGAGATCACAAAATAACATTTCTCTTAAGAAAGAAATGGAGACACAACTTATTAGGGACACAGGTAGTGGGGTCTATGGTCAACATAAGTCCTTAGTGGGTAGATATTCACTAAGAGAAGCAGGAACCAGTAAATCTCTAAGAACCTAAGTTTTTAATCAAATGATAAGGCTATTAATATGTCCATATCACCATGGAAGAAATGCAAACTTCCCAGATTTTTGGATTTCATGAAAATCTTAAAAGCAACTAGTGATCTGTGACTGGGATGCAATTCTTTTCATAATACAATAAGGTCAATTCAATGTATATACAACATGATTGAGCTGTCGATTGTTCCTGTTGGTGATGTATCTACCTGCCAGGACACTCAACCATAAAATAGGATTGAATCACACTAAAAAATGTACAGGGTTGTCCCAAGAATTTTTGACATACGTTTGTGAAGGACTTAGCATGGTTCCTAACATAGGAGACAGAGCAAATATCTTCACTGAAATCTTATCCTCGAGTGGAGGGTTTGACTTCAGAGTGGACTAAAGGATCTCCATTCAGAGCTGCTTGTGAGGACTGAAATCATTAACCTGACCCTCCTTCTATGGCATCCCCAAAATTTCCCCATAAACCTGTGCTCAACTGGGCTAAATCCACAACATCCTCTTTAGATGTCCAAGATCCATGGTCTGGGGTAAGTTGTCTAATAATACCTACGAGAATATGATTAAAAAAAAAAAAAAGCATGAGACCTTCCACTCTAAAAATTTTTGAAGGTACAAAAGGTACATCCAATAAAAAATGGTGGATCATGAATATTGTGGGGCCACGTATTTAATCCAGGGCAGATCGTATCCTAGATTGTCCCTGACTTAACACATGACCTGGGTGGTTTACATCTTCTTATTAGAAGGCCTCTGGCCTCAGAAACACATCACTTTACCTGTCGTGAGTTTCGTTGTTGGTGCTGCAGTTGTAGGAGCAGAGGTGAAGACCTTAGGTGATGTTGGAGCCCTGGTGGCCTTAGGTGGAGCTACAGACCAACATGAAAGCCAGGATTAATCAAGCAGCAGGAAGAAAAGCTTTGCACTGGTCCTGTACATCAACATAACCAAAGAGAGACTGTCCCGAGACAAAACTAGGCACTAGTCTCTCTTGAACTCAGAGTTCTTGTTATTGACCAACTAGAATTTGACAGGGGAGGACTTTATGACAAACTTGCAAAAGGGAAACAGCTGTATTGAAAGGTATATATTTCAGCAAGTTCAGAGGCAAATAGGATACCCTGAATTTACAATGAAGCAACTTGAAAAGGCCAGCCATGTCTGCCTGATTTATGTATCTTCATAAACATCTGTGAAGTGGGGAAAATGTTTAGGGCCTAGACATGTCTTTTTCCTTTCAGGGGTGAAAGAGTAAGACTTAAATAATAGCTCCCTGTCCTGGCTGGTGGGGTGTGGTTCAGAGGGTTTAGCACCAGCCTGTGAACTGAGAGGCTGGCTGTTCGATTCTCAGCCAGGGCACGTGCCTGGCTTGCGGGCCAGGACCCCAACTAGGGGGCATGTGAGAGGCAACTGATCAATGTTTCTCTCCCTCTCTTTCTCCATTCTTTCCCCCTCTCTATAAAATAAAATAAAATAAATTGCCCAGGCCCAGAATGTTACCAAATAGTATTCAGTTCAACCAGATCTGAGGGTACCCTCCCAAAGGACATGCATCCTAAATGAGGATAATCTGGCCCCTATTAGCATATATATTCTAGATCACACAGACAATTTTTATATTTGTCTACAAGGTGGACTAGATTACAGGAAATAACTTTGTCTCTTTCCAGAGTCAGAGTGGGTAGGATTCCAAACCACTTACCCAGAAAGATTGCTGACACCAGAATTCAGCACAAACACAACGACTGGCACAAAAGCAGATGGATAAAGGCCTGATTCAAGAATGTGTGCTTTTGCCGTGGCATAGTTGCCAGTTGGTTAGAGGTGGTTCCCATAAACAAATGTTGGGAGTCCCATCAGTCCTGGGTCAAAGCACGTACAGGAACCAACCAACAAATGCATAAGTAAGTGAAACAACAAATCAATGTTTGTTTCTCTTTGCCTCTCCCTTTCTTCCCCACTTCCTCTCTGTAAATAAATACATTTGAAAATTTGAAAATGTGCCCTCTTTTTTCTTATCAGGCACCATTTTATGCAAGAAGTTTCCTAAAATCTCAACTTTGGGGCTTTCTTATATTATCTCCCCAGTATAGTTCTCCCGGAGTCAGCAGTTTTCTCTATCTGAATTGGCCTTATCTTACTTGCCTTCAATAGGGAAACAAATAAATGCCAAAAAATAAGAGGTGTCAAAAAGAAGTTTCCTTTAATTAAAAAAGTAAATAGAGATATAGCTTATTAAGGTCACAGGTATTGAATTCTACTGTTAAAAGGAAACCTTAGTTGAGGAAAAAATACAATAAAAAATATGAAGGATGAAAAAAATACCTCAGCTGAAGGAGATTCATTAAGAGAGAACACCAGAAACCATGAAATTCTCTAGAACTTACCTCTCTCCTGGAATGATACGGCTATTAGCATGTGCGTTTCAAGAGGTGTTAACTTCCCAGATTTCTGGATTTCATGAAAGTCTTAAAAGCAGCTGGTGAACATATTGGGAATGCAAATGTTTTCATATTGCAATAAGGTCAGTGTAATGTTTAAACAAGTAATGTTGTGATATGAGGTGACATTTACTTCAAAAAATCCAAGATAGGGCAGAGCGTAGGGGTGGAAGTATATATGCCTATGCAGTGTACATGAAACAAGATTGAGTTGGTAAATGTTAAACTTGGTAATGTCTCTACTTGACAATATCTTATAGAATATTATTTAAATCATACATTTGAAGTTCTCCACATTAGTTTTACAATGTTAATATAGGTCATTTTAACTTTTCATTAACATCATTTTAGAGAAAAGTAGAGTTGTTTAAACTGAATAAATTCAGCTTGACAAACAATTCCACTACAATTCACAATGGAGCAGTGAATGCTTTTTCACGAAGTAACTAACGTTTTGGAAGCACTGCTGTAAGAGATAGTTTGCTGACTGGGAAGATCCTCTAGCTGACGTTCTTGAATCAAAGTTGTTTTCAACACTTCATTCTACCCAATTAAGTAATTCTATTTCCCAGGAGTTATTAAAAAACAATTGTAGCAACCTCCTCTTTCTTTATTAAAGGAAGAAAAAACTACTACCAAAAGTAAACATCTCAGTTCACCTACGTGAGGTGATGAAAGGAAGAAGGAAGATGAGCTCACCTGGCTTTACATCCAATACCATGTTGACTTTCAAATCATTAAACCACCCTGAGCGCTCAACACGGCAACAATACGTGCCACTATCAGACTGGGCTGCATTCTCTATGGTTAAAGACACGTTCCCTTGAGAAATCCTTCCTTTCAGGGTATAACGCCTGTCCCTCTGAAAGGTGACGCGGTAGCCATCCGTCCGGATGAGTGGACTTGCGCATTGAAAGGAAGGACATGAGCCACGGCCCCAGCACATGGATGTGGTTTCACGAGCTGTGGAGTAGGTGCAGGGCAGCGTGACAGGCTGGCCCACCACTCCGTTAACACGCGCCTGAGCAACTGCAGCTTCTGCAAATAAGGGGAAAACAGAGCTTGCGGACTCAGTGTTTTAATTTTTTATTAATTCCTGCCTTTTTCTCTTTACATAGTTTATTTCATTTGCAATCACATGACCTTATGTCTTCAGTCTAAAAATTTTATTATAAGCATTTTTTGGTTTACATCTTTATCAACATTTTGGTTTTTGATGTTTATAAATAACAAATAATATAAACTTTTTTTCCTATATTTAGGATTGTTTCCTAATAGGATAAATGTCTAAAAGAGAAATGATCAGAATAAAGAGCAGAAATCTTTTCCATCTCTTTTTTCAAATTTCTTCCCAAAGTGTTCAAACCAAATGACACTCTAGCAATACGTGAGCATGTATTTCATTCTGTGTTTGGCAGGCTCTGCTTATTAAATAGGTAACACATGCATGTCGCTCTTCCCCTCCCCTAGAGTCCATCACTGTCTCAGCTGAAATATGTTTGAAAATTCTATTGTCATTAAAGTTTTCATTTTTTTAAAGATTGTATTTATTTATTTTTAGACAGGAATGGAGGGAAAAAGAGAGGAGGAGAAACATCAATGTGGAGTTGCCTCTCACACGCTATCTACTAGGGGCCTGGCCTGCAACCCAGGCATGTGCCCTGACTGGGGATCGAACCTGCAACCCTGTGGTTTGCAGGCTGGCACTCAATCCACTGAGCCACACCTGCCAGGGCTAAAGTTTTCATTTTTATTGAGATTCTTTAAATGTCTATCACAGATGAAGTCACCTCACTACTTCTCTCTCACAAAAATAAACAAAACTAATGTTTTGTTTAAGGTATTGTTGGCTTAAAGGCAGAAGTCTAATAAACCCTTCAGAAATCAATTTTTAGGAAACGGGTTTCCAAAAGTTCCAGGAGGAGCAAAGGCTTATCATGTGCTTTAGGCTGCTCGAAAACCCTCCACGCAGGCACCGGACCCCGTGGGTGGGTGGCAGCCAGCCCTACAGCAGGGCCCGCTTCCCCGGGTGAAGCCAGGAGCGGGACAATATTCAGTCGAGTACTGAACGATGCCACTTAAAAACAAAACTCTCCCCTGTGGTAGTGGTATCGAAACTCTATGTTGTTAAATGTAGTCAAGGTGGTCCTTAAATGAAATCTGACATTTACCAATTAATCTTATTTATTTAAGTTTTTTGAGTTTTTATATTACAACTGATATACAGTATTATACTAGTTGCAGGTGTACAAAATAGTGATTAAACATTTATATAACTAATGAAGTGATCACACCAATAAGTCTAGTGCCCACCTGACACCATACATAATTATGACAATATTATTGACTGTATTTCTCGTGTTGCAGTTTACATCCTGTAAAATAGTCATAGTCAGGACTCAGCTGTGAGTTACAGAAATTCTCTGGGAATAAAATGTTTATTGTTACCTAAAATAAGAGTCCATTTTCACTGGATTAATATAATATTTACTTTTGCCTAAAATCACTCTGCATTACAAATATAATACAAGCTAATTATAAGTTATAGTAGTAGCATAAAAATTCCCCCCACAATCCCACTTCTGCAGGTTATTGTTTAAGTTTAGAATATCTACTACTAAGTTTTTCTCCATCTTATAGAATGTTTTGAATTAAAATATCTTATTTTTAAAATAAATCATTGTAAATGATTAAAAAAATGCAATCAAACTGCACAGAGTGTACAAGGAAAGACTGGTCACTTTTCCCTCCTGTCCTCATTCCTTCCTTCCATCCCCTCCCACCCCAAGGTCACACTGGTACTATTTCTCACATACACACGAGAAGTCCACGCATACCTGCCGACCCACCCACCCCCTTTTTGTTTCAACACAAATGGCAGCATACGACACAGTTCTACTTAGCCACAGCTTTTGTAATTCAGAGCATTTAAGCAATGTCTTTGGACTAAGATTGCAGCCTGGTTCTTTGCTCACTAGCTGACCCATCACCTTCCAACAGAGCCCAAGAACATGCACCTCCACCACACCCACCCACTCAGGGCTTCCAAACCCCAGCCCACCTATTCCCTTACCTGTCCAAAGTAGCATGAGGCCCGCGAAGGCTACCCACGGATGCATGACGGAATCAGCCTAAAGGAAGGAGAAAATGGACTGTTGGGTGTGCCCCCCACCAGAAGGTATGGGAACAAGTCTGAATTCTCAGAGTGCAACTTTTCCTTTCGCTCTGGCTGGGTGAATCCCATGAGCTTACCCTGCTGGGGACTGGCGACCACGTACAATGGCTTCAGGCCTCTGTTAGCTTAGGTGGCTGAGGGCTCTGCACCTCCAACAGACAGGCAAAGTTTTCCTCGGAAGCAGTTCCTTATTTCCTAGCTCCTTCCCTACACATAAAGTCCAAACTGATTCCTGCTGCTCACACCAGAGACTAAGGAGCAAACAGGAAGGAAGCCAGAGGCAGGCTCAGCACGGGGGACACTAGAGCAAAGACCTGTCTTCCAATGGTGGTGGTGCACTTACCCTTGGCCTCTAAGATGATACTCAGCTGGCCCTTTGTGCGTGGAGGTACTTCCTGCCCTGTGGCCCCAATGATTAGTCCCCAGCCTCAGTTATATTGCCTCGTTATGTATTAACAAGAATTAAGCCAGACTGTGAATCACTGTGTTTCTTCTTTCATGCTACAAGAAGCGGTCACTCATGCATTTTACTGAATGATATCAGAATATGGACCAGACTTGGTGTTCATACACACAAACCCAAGGAAAAGCCCCAAGATGGAAAATCTACCGTTGTAAATGGAGGGCAGAGAGGGACTGACAGAAGAAGCAGGCCACCCCATTCTGGCAAGTAATGGTTTAACAAGAAAAACTTACATACATGGCTCCTCTTGGATGATTGCAAGAAAAAATGGATCTCCATGCCTGTTGGCAGGTACCAAAGAATTATATAGAGTAAAGGGTGAAGACGGTCACAGATACTAGTTCATGAATGCTACCAGATATTAGAAATTACTTGACATGCTTGACCAGGTCAGGACAAGAACTGGCCTGTTCCAAGAACTGGCACAGAGTAAGAGGCAAGGCAGGGGTACTGATTAATGTCAAAACGAACATCGATTAGGACTGGATCATCTCAAAGAGGTGTCTATGGAAAGCAACCTCCACTCTGGCCTGGACCCAGCTTGTGGGACAAAGAGCAGTCATGTCACGGAAATTCTCTCCACTGCACTCCACTCCCATGACTGGCTCTTACAGTCTCATGCCTCCTCTCTTCTGCGAGGTGACCTGAATGGTCAGCAAGGGGCTTCAGTAGTAGGAAGGTGGCTCACGTATGACTAATTGATTGCATTGAAGATACAGTTCTCTGCAAACAGTACAGACACATACAAGAAAAGAGACAAAAATTAAAGGAAGGATGGAAGGGAGGAAGGGAGGAAGGAAGGAAGGAAGGAAGGAAGGAAGGAAGGAAGGAAGGAAGGAAGGAAGGGAGGAAGGAAGGAAGGAAGGGAGAAGGAAAGGAAAGTCCAAATATTAGTAACAATTTTTTCCATCATGTTCCCCCAGGACTAAAACCAGTGGGTTAGTAGGTCACCTAGTAGCCTTGGGGCCAGATCATGTAAGGCATTTACAGTGCACTTGACTTTTTATATGTGCTAACCAAAAAAAATATTTGCAGATGCATCTGGTATAAAAATACAACATTCAGTTTTGATAATGGCACAGGTGGCCCCTATCCCCATAACTGGATGCCACAAGATCAGCAGAACCCTAAGGTTAGAAAGACAAATGTTTAGTAGGGACTTGAATTGGGAGATCTTCTCCTTCTACGAGAATTACACTTGTAGCCTGGCCAGGCTGTGTAAGTCATACATGTTGGCCAGGAGGAAGTCATGCTCTCTGGCATGAGGAGGTGAATAGGAGGGGAAGAGGCCAGACTAGGAACCATTCCCCCCTCTTCCAATAGTGCACATGCCAGTCCACATAGAGCACGTCTCCATGGATGGGTCTCAACAGCATTGGAATGACAGGGTCCTACCAGAGACTAAGCAGTTCCCTCTCATCCAGGGATGTGAAGTCACTGACCCATCCTGGTGGAAAATCCCATTGCAGATTCTACTAAATGGTCCTTGTTCCAGGGACAATAGTGCTTGGTGCCCTTATTATCATGACTCCTTGGTCCATGACAAGCTTCGGGGCCTATTGCTGTGTCCTTTGTTTTTCATACCTTTACTATAATTTAACACAAAGAAAGAACAAAATTTTGATTTTGCATCGGTTTACTTTTCATACTTAAGTCCACTTTATTAAATGTATTCTAATCTTAGAATGCTTATCCAGGTCAGTACAATGGGCCTATATCAGAAACCACCACAAAGCAGAAAGTAAGGATAAGGTGCTGATTTTTCTCAGAATGAACATCAATTATCATCAGTTTATAATAGGGGATCGTGGAAAACAACCTCTTATCTGGCCCAAGTTCAACGCATGGGACAGAAAGTGGTCAGGTCAAGAAACACTCTCCTCCACATCTGGGTTCAGATCCCAGCTCTTCCACCCAGAAAGCTGGGTATCTCTGCAAGTTACTAAGCTGATCCAAACCTTGATTTCCTCATTCATAAAACAGCACTAAAAATACTTGCTCTACCCCCCTTAAAGGACAGTTACAATGAACAAAAAGGCTGTGTGTTAACTCTGAAAACTACACCTAAATATGTGTGAATACTATAGCCAAGGTCTGTGGGGAATTTACTGTGTCGCAGGCTCCGTGCATGTGACCTTCACAGATCCCCTTAGGCAAGCGCTGTTACTAGCCCCATTCTTGGAGGAAGAAGCTGGGGCTTGGAAAGGTTAAGTGAGCCTAGACTCCAGACAAGGTCTTCTTAGTTTTGCTCTTAGTCATTAAACCACACAAACGTATGTAAGCCTGCCTACAACGTCATTAACTCCCTTCTGGTCTAAAGATGCCGTAGCTTCCTCCCAGGGCGGCGCTGGTCCTCCATTTCTAGTAGCCCATGAGAGGCTTGGTGGAGAAGTGGGTGACGGCCTTGGCACACTGTGGCAATGGGTCCTGGGCTTCCCAGGAACGGGAGCCCCTGACTCCAGCAGCCTCTGCACTTGGAAGAAAACTAAAGTCTAATACTACAAACTGGCAGCCCAAATTCGACAGCAGGGCATGGCCTGTTACCGCCCTCTACCCTTAGGGTTTGTTCTCTCCAGCGACCGGCCCCCGCTCTGCCTGGGGGGCTTCACTGTCTGCAGGCGGCCTTGCTTGGAGGAGGCCCTTGTCTTAGACTTTATTCCACCTCCTTGAACGTAAACTCCCCCCTGTCACTGGGCCTTCACTCAGGCAGTGCCCTGGTCTATGTGTTGAAATTTGCCTCTTCCACAACATGAAGGGGTTGAACTGCACGATACTTCAGAGCTCTCCTAGCTTTGCAATGCCAGCCACTTGAATCCCACTGAGTAATGAGATGAGTTCTACCAAGAAGGGAGCACATTTCTGGATACCTGCTTTCCCTTTATGCTTCGCCTTTATATACTCAGAGCAGACACTATTGACCCTAGCTCAACCACCACCAAAGCTTGGGGGACAAATTCTGAAATGCCTCCCCTGAAGTAGGTCATGTCTTATATATTTGGGAGGCAAAAGATTTTATGACTAGTTCTGTTATACTCTGAGACTCTGCCAAAGCCCACTAGGTCAGTGATAAGGATTTTCTAATTTAATTCCACTCTTCCATATTAAGGCTAACAGGATATGACTAAATACACGAAGGATGAAAAAGTCCCAAGACTGTACAATCTGGCAATGACACAGATAAGTAAGCGTTTAACTAACAAAATTTGGCAGAATAATATAAGCAGTAAATCAATAATCAGGCTTGTCACTCCCCCACTAACTCTCCCATGGCTCTCTCAGAAAAACATTTCCTAACTCCTAACCCAGGTACAAAGGCCCAGAGATCTGGCCCCTGCCGACCTCTCAGATTTTTCTACGACTCTCTTCCCGTTCACAGGGCTCTAGCCATTCCCCTTCTTTCCGAGGCGCCCCTACTTTAGCATCTCTTCCCTGGCAGTGTTCTCTGATAGCTTCCCATTCCTTTACCCCACCAGCTCCAGGTTCCTCCTTGTCATGCTGCTCTCTGCTTCCGTGTGACCTTTTCATACATGCCTCCGGACCCTCGACCGTAAGTAGCCAACCACTCTCCGTGTCACTCTATTTCAGTTTTCTCCACGTTTTGGTGAACCTTGTTTCCTGTGATGTGTGTGTGTGTATGTTTGTGTTGTCCATGTCTCTTAGAATTTCCTGTGATGATGGAGTTATTGTATAGGGGTGTGGGGCAAGCCCTTAAATCGTGGCTAGTACAAATGAGGAAGTTAACATTTTCTGTTTAATTTTAGTTGAATTAATTTAAATTCAGGGAGCCTGTGAGGTTTTTCTCCTGGCTTCTGTTGTCAGTTTAGCTGAAATAAACACTTATAAAAATGTAAATAAGTTAAATAGCCACAAATGGTTATTGTGTTGACAGTCCTCGATACTAATCCATAAACAATACGAAGCCATAAACCCTTACAGGCAGAACTCCTCCCTTTCCCTTTCTGCTCTATCCCTGAAACTTTGTAAAGGACCCAAACAGCATTGACTGAATAAACAAATGGAAGCACAAAGGTGTGGAGAGAGATTCTTTATTAACTGAGGGGGCTATTGAGGGGGAGTGAGAAGATATCTCTAAAGGTGTCACACATGAACTTCATAGTGGGAGCATGGAAGAAGGGTGTTTTAAGTGGAAGAAATAATGAGCAAGAACCAAGCCAGGGACTCAGAACCAAGGCCCCGAGATGTTAAGTAACTGCACATTTCATAGGATTGGATTTTCTGACGAGCCAATCTCCCCTGAGAGCCACCACTCTGTCCTAAAGGTTCCCAAACAACTCAGTGGGGTTTTTTGTTGCTGTTGTTGTTGTTTTGTTTTTTAACTTAAGCTACACAATCTTTATAAGTTGTTACTATGTAGAGTCAACTTTGTGACTGATCCCAGTGGAGCGATAGGCGCAGGCACCAAACACGAATTTCCAGATGTTGGCTGCACATAAAAAGGCACGTGCTTGCAGGCACAGAGGTGACAGGAGCAGACACCTTTCAGAAGGAGCCCTGCAGGCACGCGGGGCTGTCGGGGGACTCCGCGGCGCCCCAGGACAGAGGGAGGGGGAGCAGCCGAGAGGACCAGTGCGTGCCCGGAGCTAAGACTCTGGATGTGTAGAAAGCAGAGCAAACAGCGTTCCCAAAGGCTGTGAAGAGTAGGCGCCTAAAGATGAGTCTAAGGGATTTGAGCCCAAAAGACAGACCACTAATTTAGGGAAAGATGCATGTAGCAGGTTTGGGCGGAAAAACTCTGGATTTCTACCATGTGAGTTTGAGATGTCTTAGACACCCAAGTGGAGACTGTTAGATTTAGAAGATATCTAGTTTATACCTAGTTTAGGTCTGGACTAAACGAACATGTTTGGGAGTCATTGGCCTAGAAATGGTATTTTCAAGTCAGGAACCTTGAAGGGATGCTCAAGGCAATGCCTGTGGCAAAGGACTAGGCCCTGGGCCTTCCACAAAAGGTTGAGATGGCAGAGGCAACAATACACATAGAGAAGCAAACCAAGGAAGGAGTAAGAAAAGAAAAAATAAATGGCACCTGGAAGCCAAGAGAAGCAAATGCATCAATGAAGAGGCAATGATCATGAACCAAATGTTAAAAAGGCAAGGAATGAGATGTGTTTACAGGCCTGAGCAACCTGGAGATCACTCATGACCTTGACCAAACCAATTTCAGTAAGCGACTGGTTGCTGGCCCTATGAATATTTGAGAAAACTGTTTACAAGGAAAGGGAAAATCAGGAGAATTGCAGACAGGGAACTCTTTAAAAGAATTTTGCAGCCAAAAAAGAAAAGAGAAAATGGGATTTAGAGAGTTGGGGCAACAGAGGATTTATTAAAATGCTAAAAATAACAGCCTATTCATTTGCTCTGGAAATGACTGAGAGAAGGAAGAAAAATTGATTCGAGAGAGGAAAAATCAGGGTAGCAATGGAGGGAAGGAAGTGTCAAGCTGGGAGGTCCCGCTTAGACGTGCCTAGGAGAACACATGGGCTAGGGAGGAATGCGTGACCTTCTGGCAGCACTAAGGTGACACTGGAGGTAGGTGTCATGAAAGTGAGACCTGCCCAAGAAGCTGATGTTTTTCCCTAGCGACCATGAGAGAGAGTGGGAGAATCCACACCTATGGAGAGCTGATTTTTTAAAATCATCTTGGGCATCTGTAAATAATCCAATCAAGTACCTCCCCCACAATGGCTTCCCAATACCAAAATCTAAACTGCACAAGCTGCCCGCCTTCCCAAGCAGATCACACTGTTCCAACGCAAGCCTCACACAACTCCAACCAAACCAGCCAAACCATTTCTACCTGCTAATCTTGTAATCTCAGTAGTTTGTAACACAGAAAAGACTGCAGTACTATCAAACCGACAAAAGTTGGAAGCCAGTACTAGGCTCCTCCTCTAACAAACATTAGACTTTACACAGCTAGTTATTGTTTACAATTCACAGATCATTTTACTTTACAAATCACAAAAGTCAAGGAGCAAAATTACTCGTATAGCTGTGCTCTAGGCACACATGTACCCATTTCACAGCTGAAGAGAGGCTCAGCAAAGGAATGTGTTGACTCAAATGCCACGCAGCTTTCAAGCCTGAATATACAGGTCTTCATCCAGCCACACACCATTTCCCTCCCTGATAATGCCCAGGAAAAGCTTAACAACTCAAATGTAAGAGTCTGTGATTCCACTTAAATGGGACTCTTATCTCCAAAGGAAGTCAAAGAACTCTATGTGAATTTTTCCTAATTTTTAAATTTATTTTTAAACTATAGTTGATGTAACATATTATATTAATTTTAGGTGTACAACAGAGTGATTAGGCACTTATATACCTCACAAAGTCACCACGGTAAGTCTCATACCTTCTTGGCTCCATACATAATCTTTACAATTTTATTGCCTATATTCCCTATGCTGTACTTTATATCCCTGTCAGTAATATCATAACTGGAAATTTGTACTTTTTTATTCCCTTCATCTTTTTCATCCATCTCTTCGTCCACCACAATCAGGCAACTATCCGTTTCTTCCCTGAATCTCTGAGCTTGTTTCCATTTAGCCTTGTTGGCCCTTGCTTTTATAGTCCACATATAACTGAAATCAGATGGAATTTCCTTTCACTGCCTTATTTCACTTAGAATACTGCCCTCTGGGTCCATTGTGTCACAAAGGGTACAATTTCATTAAATTGTGTTTAATTCCATTAAACATATGTACCACAAGTTCTTCCTTTATTCATTCATCTATTGATAGATGCCTAGGTTGCTGTTCGTGCTGAATGTAAGGGCGTTTGGGAGAGATGGCAGGGCCCGCCAGAAGCAGGCCATCATTCCTGTAGAGCTTGAGGGCATTTAGGAGAGACTGTGTGGGCTCC